TCAGAAGGGCATATATGCTTAATGGAGGGATGCTGCTGTAGAAAAATAATAACTGATTGTGTTATACATCATGTCCTAATGCTCTTTTTTTTCTGCATACCTTGGGCATTTTCGCCTGAGAGCAGCTTGGGCAGCAGCAGGGGGAGCACTGAGAGCACAGAACGCTGTCCCAGCTCTTCTGTCCCTGGCTTGACTGCTGCAGCTGCTGGTGACAGCCGTGGCAGAGATAGACCTGCTTATCCAAATTTATAGAAGATTTTCAGGAACAGTTTCTTGTTCTATTAGTTCTTAGTAATAATAATGTCAAAATAGAATACTAGGTAATGGACTTGTAATTTTTTGCTTTTATTTCACACTGTAAGGTACGTGTCCTTTGGGCCAAGGAGAGTTAGGAGCACATCTCTGTTAGGATGATAGAAAATACGTGTTTGACAAATTGTTTCTACAGAAGAAACTTCCTCCTTACTTCATTATTTCAAACTGAGTGACAGCATTTGGCTTATCAAATGTCTGTTTGCTTTCTGCCTCCCGTAAGCAGAACAGTATTGCCTTCTGGATTTCATCTTTGCTGCTCCATTTAAAAATATTGTTTTCTTACAAAGATAAATAATAAGTTAATGTTTCTGTCTCCAGAGTTATGATGCAATAGCAAATGGTAAATGTCCTGTTATTTTGTACCTTTAATCATTTGCTGAAGATGTTTTGCTCTAGCAGATACTGTTTAAAAGGGTATGTGAAATACTTCTGCAAATGGATGACATTGTAAAAAAAACAGATACAAGAAGGACAGGTTTTGATGTTTGGTTTTAGGTTTTCCTGGACTAGTTCAGGAAAGTCTCATATGTATTCTGAAACAAGGGAATTGAGTAATATTTTTCCTAGCAGTGGCTGCTTACAAATGTCAAGGCAGAAAGCAGTCTTCACTAAAGGCTGAGAAAAGAGGAAGCACTGAAAGGAAATAAGACATCTTGTATCATTTACTGTATTCCTTGAAGAAACTTGTCTAGGTAATAAGGTCATATGTTAGATAGGAGGTAGTTAACTTCTGATAAAAAGGCCATACATATGTGTGTTTTATACATGGTGTACAGCTGCTGAGCTGTGAACTTGGTAATTGTAAATATAGTTAAGATTAAATAGATTAAAAATAGTTAAGATTAAAGCTGCTCTCACCTTCTCTTGTTGTTGACTTTTAACAGTTGAACAGACTTTGTCTGCTTTTTCTTTCTGTATTCATCATTCTTTCTGTTGATAAATATTGCTTGCTCTCTTAAATTATCATAGATTCCAAGTTATTGTGATAGATAATCTGATGTACATATATACATGTACCTATTATGAGAATAAATAGCCTCTTTATAAAGAGTCCTTCAATCTAAAGTATCCTATGCCCAAATTTTGGTTTTTATGTAGATAGAGACATGAAAAGGAAGGCTTCCGCACATACATTTTGGAAGAGATGATTTAAATACTCATTAAGTATGAAAATGAGAGGTGATGTGATAGGTTAAGTAATGTCTGAAGAAAATTTGTCATTAATTTTAGTGGTACAATGTCCTTATGCTGGATCTTACTACTCTCTCACTGTTGTATCATTATTATTTGCTCTTTACACAGAGAAATTACTTTGTTAGCCTTTTACTATTGCAAGTGATGTCTAATACTTGATTCAGTGTTCCAGTAAAAGCCAGAATTTTTAATAAAGCTTTAATTCTCTATTAATACCTTGTGATTTCTCTACCAATTTTTCCTTTTGCATATCATATCTAATATCATGTAAGGTTTTCTGTCTGTTTTGAGGGTATATGTTGCTTATGCTTGCATCTCTTCTAACTTAGGCAGAAGTTCCCTTACTGAAGCTTAGTATTCCAGTTTATATTGATTTTGCCATTTCATGTCTAATTCAATTAAATGAATAACTGTGATTTAGATGGCATTTTAAACTACATTTGTTTGGGATGTTTTAACTCCAAACAGGCATAAATAAGAGGTTCTAAATGGTCCCTGTTTTTCTTTAGTTGACAGAAATATTTTCTACTCTGTTTATTTATTTATTTTCTGAAAAGTGGGCATAAATAACTTTGATTTTACTAAAACTCTCCCTACAGGGCTATATCAAGGCTTCCCAGTAGCACGCACAGAATTAGATTTTCATGTTCAAAGGATCTCTAAGGAGGCAAAATTAAATTATACAACAGAACAGAAAAATTAGGGAGTTCTGGGAAAGGAATGAAGTCTGTGAGAGAGTAACAGGAAACTGTGTGGTCTGGTTTTGGAGTTTTATGGGTTTATGTGACAGTCTGAGCTCTGTGAATTGATTGTAGATTTTTCTGTATGTCATTTGCCTCCTCCAGACGCATCCCTCTTTCCAGGGTATGCAACCCCAGTCTATCAAATTTGGGGCATTTGTGACCCTTTTCTCTCATGCAGCTATTAACTCCTTCCTTCCTCTTTGCAAATGCAGCTCTCTTTCTCTGCAGTAATTCCCACATATCTCTTTCCCACTGTCTGGGAGGAACTGTGCATCTGTCAAGCAGGGATGGGTGAGAAAGGTGGTGGCAATAACTGTTTTTTCACCCTCCAAATAGACTTTCCCTAACTGTACCTTTTTAGTGCCTTATTGGTGGCAGAAATCTGCAAGTGTAAAAAGAGCTCACCCTGATCTGCAGTAGTCTGTAAATTTGTCTGTATTATGTTAATCCCTGCATTGTCTAGTTGCATGAAAGTACCAGTTTGTTCCAGTCATGTGTCTAATGAATTCTGGCATTGACTGATCCTTTTTTGAATAATCAGGAGATCTGACTAGGTGTTTTCCACTTCCCCTCATTCGCATTGACATTAAATTCCTGTGATTTGCACTCTGTCTTAGGCTATTCATATGAAATACATATAATGGAAATATACAACTCTCATTCTGCTTGTGTACTTTGTTTTTACTGTTCAGTAATTGTTTGTCGTGGGGTTTTGTCACTCTGTCCCTGTAATGTCTAAATACTCATATGCTTCCCTTTCAGTGACTCTATTGTAATTAATGTTGAAAATTTCTCACCTGTGTGTCTGTGTTTTTTATCTTTACCGGGTACACTGACATTTTTATATGACTTTTGTATTCATTCACTTCCATTGGCTTGTAAGGTTACAGCTAATGTGAGTCACCTGCTTTTCAGTGCTGAGCACTGCTGCAGTTCTTTGCTTTTTACTCCAGGGGGCAAGAAGTGCTTTATTCTCTGGTACAGCAATTTTGAGATTTAAAATACAAGTGTAGGGCAGCCACTGTGGAAGATGGTGTCATAAATAGAGGGGAAAGACCTCTAGTCTGCTTCCTTTGTCTATGCAAATACCTAGTAATAATAGTCTTCCACGACCTACACTCTGCAGAATTAACCTGATCTTTTTAATAATCAGTGTGAGAATATTAGTTGCTATGGCAACATATTCTGAGGTACTACTGGAGTGTCAAAATAACCTAATGAAATACCATGCTAAGAATGTTTTAGAAATTGACTTCTAAAATAAAAAGTAAATAAATCCATCTAACTTTACAAGATAAGGATAGATTAATGAAGTCTGCAACAAGGGAACAGCCATTTTCTGAGGAGAATCAGAATAATGGAGTGGGATATATTGTGTTTCTCATCTTTGATGCATGAGTTGAGCTAGAATTTCTAAATATTTTCCCTGCTTAAATTAATGGTATACCAACAACTTTTGTGTTAAGAAGTTAGCACAAGAGTCAAGAGTTGAATGATCCTCAGATGTTACAGAATTTGAGTTAGTGCCTGTCTGTGTGGTGCCTTTGCTTCTCCTGCAGTTTCCATCAGCTTGTGTTCATCTTTAGAGCTGCTGTTTCTCTACTTCTTTCCCCCACTACTTTCCCTCTACTTTTCTTTCACTTCTCTATTCCCTTCCTTGCAGCAGACTCCATGTATTTCTTTATTCTATTGGCTAAAATAATATGCAGTTAGGTGTTGGGGTTTTTAAGATGATTTTTACATGGACCCCATAGCAGTGCTTTAGAGTTAATGCTACCATCAGATTGATGGCTGTCGTCATCCCTTGTCTCAGTTCTATTCTGGTCAAGCAAAGATCTAGCCACTTCTGAAAGAAGCAGTCCTAAACACAGAATTTAGTATCTGAGTATCAGGCAGGCTGCTCAAGCAAATTCAAAGCAGGCTAGAACAGCTATTTCAGATGCCAATTTAAATAGTGTTGACATGAGAGTTTAAAAATCATTCATTACTGGGTAAACTTTCCTCCTTCTCCTAAAGTTAGTAAAAATTGCAATTCAGTTGGGGCAGATTTTCCTGTGTAGCAAAATAACATAAATATATGGGAACTGACCACTGTTCCTATTTCTGTCTGTCATAGAAAATTAGGTTACTGGTTTAAGCAAAAATCAGCATTTTTCTCTTATCACTCAGATCAATATGTAAGCTACGGTGTTCATAAGTCAATGATTATTCTTGATAATTTTCATCCCTTCCAGATAATAAAGCAAAAGAATATAGGTAATTTTTAAATACATTCATCTTTTGCCTACAAAATAAGATAGTGTGTTTAGTACTGATAAATATAATGCAAAACCTGAAACCTCATATTTTGATTCGTTTAGTAGTTTTTGTCTGCAAAAATCTTGGACCCATCCAGTCAAATATTAGTTTTTATTCTTTGTGGAATATCCTAAACTTAATAATATTACAGCAAATTTTAAAGTAAAATGAAGTAGAATTTGCCAATTTCTTGGTAATAAAGACAATAAATATTTTCTATGTGTATTAATATGTTCACTCAATTTTAAAGTATAATTACAGATAGCTCAATATGCACCTTCCTTAGAAAGCATTATTTCCATACAACAGTTTAACAGTTGAGTAGGTACTTTGGATTAAAATAGCAGTTTATCATTTCTGAATGGGACATTCTTAAGCTCATAAAAAAAAAGTTTTTTTACAATATTCATCACTGTGTTTAATTTGAAAGTATTGTTTCTTTATGCACAGAGGCCTTCTTCAATGCGTTTATCACCAAGAGAGGAGGAAGATGATGATGCAGCTGAAAATACTTGTGGACCTTCCGGTTTATGGGAGGCACTGACACCTTGTAATGGATGCAGGAACCTTGGCTTTCCCATGCTTGCACAGGTATGTGATTCCCTTTTCATCATAAAACTTAGTAACTATGGAAGAGATGCTTAATCTCTGCCTTAACACTTGGAGTTATTTATAGTCTTGCCTGATTCCCTTCAATATTGTTACTTTCGCTCTTCATTTTAATGTCAAAAGCTGCTTCTAAAATTAAATGTGGAGGTTCAGTCATCCTGCTAAAATACTTATTCATGTGAGTTTAATATGGAGACTGATGTTTACTACCCATATTTTAGACAGATAGTTGCTGTGTTGGATAGCTTTCTTTTCCATCTGGAAAGAAATTTTGAAGTCACATAGTTTCCTTTGGGATAAGTACTCTATTTTTGACCAGCTTCTAATTAATATAATGACATCTCAGCTACTTTCTTTACAGAATTAATTGAGGACATCATGCATAACTCAACTGATGTAAGAATATAGCCTAAGACTTCTTTTTGAAGGTTATGTAAGTTAAAGAAAAAATCCCCAAACATTTTCAAATGCTCATCATAATACAGAAGAGAATAAATAGAAGTGTGTAATATATTTGTCTCTAAGTCCCAGCAACTCTCAGAGCAGACCAGTCTACATTACCTACCAAAGCATTCCAGCAGCTGTGTCCTGAACAAGTGTTATTGTGTTGCTACAGAACAGGATGATGCTTATTGCTGTTTCTGGGTCTCCCTTGTTCTCTCCCCCCACCATAAATTAGCACTCTCGTTTGTGTAACATTTTTCATGCAGGTTTTTTTGGTGGGTTTTTTTTAAGCATTGAATGAAGACCTGCCAAATTTCTGTTTGGAAGTGTCTTTTTTTTCAGTTGCATCCTTACTTGGCACTGCATTTAAATAGCTTTGTTAGATTCTTGTGTATCACATTGGAATTCCATATCCTGTCTCACCACTCTTCATACACTGTTGCTTTCATTCTGTGACTGTACGTTTTATTCCCTTTAAGTCTCATGAGACTTGCACCTGTTTGAAGTCAATGCTGAAGCCTTCCCTGCAGTCAATGGAAACAGGATATGGCAGCTCATGTGCTTGAATAACAATGAGCACTGCCCTGTCTCTTGATAAGGAGCCTTTATAGTCCTTTCCCCTTTCAGTATCTGTTTCCTACTTCATACTATCCATCATTTTAGACATTTGGCAAAGTGCGACATTGTTGGAATCATCCTGATTTACAATCAGAGTATTAGTTAATAATTACTTGTTTTTAAGGGTTTGTTTCAAAGCATATTTCTTAAATGGAACTTCTCTTATTTAAATATCAACTGTGGTTTAATTATTGTTAAACTTGCCTATGATTAACATACCCGCCATTTTTATTTCCTAATTTTAGGAAATATTTTTGTTTTCCTTGTTTCTTCTTTAGATAAGGTATATATAAAGGGTGCTATAAAATTGAGGAATGCCTCTGAAAAGTGTAATCAAGTGTGATTGGTTGGTAGATATGTCTTTCCTATTTATAAAGAGAGATTCATTTCAACTATGATTAAGTTTTAAGATAGTGATTCCTGAATTAGTGTTATTCATTTTACTTGAATTTTAAGCTCGGACTTATGATATCTCGTCCTTCTTGCTCTGAGAATAATAAGATTTTAATTATAAGTACAAAAAATAGTATATTTATTATGTTTTCATTTATGATATGACAGATTGCCTTTCTAGATTGCTTCTATCCATAGAAATTAATGACAGAGATAGTTTTGGTCTTTTGTGGATTTCTTTTATGGTAGAAAGGGAAGAAGTTAGGTAGTGAAAAATCTCCAAACTAAAAGCCAGTGACTTTGATTTTTATAAATTGTTGCCATCAGTGTATGCAGTGTTTCAAGCTGTTAGCTAATCTGTTGGATCTTTCGCATTTACTTCAGAATGCAGCAGAGAACATCTTGTTCTAAGGGGTTGAAAACACAAAGTATATATGTAAGTTTCTGGATTAAGAACAGTATCTGGAATTGGTCCAACAAATTATTTATTGTGTGCAATAGCATGTTTTAGGTAAAAGTACAAAAATATGTTTCTGATACTCATGTCAGTACATTAACATATCAGAAAGCGCAGACTTCGTCAGGAAGAAACAGTGAGATAAAGGTATTTGACATGGTGTGTTAAAATGTGTACTCTCCTAAAGATCCAAAAATAGAGAAAGACTCTATCAATTATTCTTGGACTCAAGCAAATTAATTTTTACACTTCCTTTTTATTTAAAAACAAATTTTGCAATTATATAAATACATTGTGTTTTCACATCAAAGGTGAACAAACATAAAGATTGATTCCTGCTTTATATACACGGAGGAACAATGATAACATGAAATTGAGTTTTAGGTGACATTGTGAAAACGTCTGTGATCCAGTGAGCTAACAGTTTACAATATACCAAAGTTGAGGGCAGTAATCTCCTTGACAAACTTGGTTTTGTTTTGCGATTAGGGAAAAAAGTTTCTCTGGAGGTACTTCTGGCATGCAGTATGTTATTGCTGTCTCTACTGTGCTGGGAAGTGTCATTTTAGAAAGGGCTATTACAGAAAGTTCTGTGTAAAATGTTACAGCATTTAAGACCTAGCATAGCAGTAATACAGGTGTTCTCAGAACAATCAACTTTCTTTTACAATCTCAAAATTGGTGAAGTGCTGGAAGGGCTTTATGGAAAAATCTTTGTGCCTTGTAAAAATTTCAGGGGTTTAGAATATGCAGCTGGATTTTTGAGACTGAAATTTAGACATGTCATCTTATTTTAGCAGAGTGTATTCTATTTATAGGTTATGATTTAGGGTTAATTTTGGCCTTTGTTCTGGAGTTAATCTTTGGTTTAGGGCAAAAATTCAGTACCCACATGCATATTCAAGTCTTTCTGAGAATAAAGCTGCATACACTGAATGTATGTGTATAATTCTATTTTCTTTCTCATCTATAGCATACCTTGAATATTTCTGTGCCAAGAGGCTAACAGGGCCTGATGTACAGAGATAGAGGGCAGTCTGCAGTGTCAGAGAGATGACTGCTGCAGAGTTCTATATGATCCCTCCAGGATTATCAGTTTAAAGTAAGCAGTTCACACACCTTAATCTTGACAGCCATGCCAGCATATTTTTCTAATTATGATATAAAGCAATTGTGAGATAAGGCAAGTTTAGCTTGTCCCATTTAGGATGCTGCTGGGTCAACTTGACTGGACTTTGACTTGAATTATGTTGTATGTACAACTTAAAAATCCTGACAATTATTCCGTGTGTTTGACATGATGACAGCCAGGAACGCCTCATTTGTTGCAGCTCTGTTACAAAACGAAAATAATGTCTGTAAAGAGAGTAGTGCAGTTGCTATGGAAAAATTGAACTTTGATTCAAAAGCCATAAGTATAAACCTTCATGCTGCCAGTTGCTGGGAAGCATGGCTCTTCACTATAGGGAAAATCTACTTAAAATTTTAAGAAAAATATTTAATATAATAAAATTTACTTAAATATTTAAATGTTATGCTTCTAGCTTAGTGTCAAATTTTCATCTTTTAAGAGAGGGAATTATCTTCTGGGAAACCTTGACATTTTCCTTTAAGACTGATCACCATTCTTCTTATATAACTCTAGGATTCCTGGAGGTAAGAACTCCAGCAACTTTATCATGGGCTCTCTTATGGAGAGACATTCCCCGAAAATGCCTTTTTATTTAGAAGGAGGGAAGAAAAATTGGACTCCTAACTACATTTTTAGAAAATGAGAACTGTATGTAATAGTTTCTTTGTAAATACAGGCTATGGTAGGAATATATAAAGTTTGGAGTTTGATGCATCTGTTAATAGGGTTATTTATTTTGTGTCTGCCTTCCAGAAAATCATTTTGTCTGTCTGTATGTCTTTTAATAAATTTTAAAAAGTAATTTTTAATGGGAAGAGATTTTGCATACTGTTTGTATTGTAGAAGCTAGTTAAGGCTGTTCTGTAGAAAGCTTGACAGTGAAAATTGTTATGTTGCAATTATTTTTACATTTTCAAAGTCAGCTCAGGATACATGAGAGATGAATGGAGTAATTAAGTAAGGAGCCAACTCAGTTTTCACACAGACATCAAATCTGCTTCTAAAAAGCTCTCTATACTGACACTCTCTGGAGAGAGGCACCATGGCTCTTTGTTATCTCTTTCTGAAGAATTTTAATATTGGGAATTTTATTTGGCATTATTTGTTTTCATTTTAACATACTCTTTCAGTTTGAACTCCTATCTTCAGTTGCCTCAAACATTTTCTTAGTTTTTAAGCTCAATGCGAATGTTTGAGTAATTTTTGAACTGCTATGGTGCAGGGGAGGTAGTATAAAAAAGGAAGTATTTCTTCTTTGTTTTTAATAAAAACAGACAAAAGCAAAGTACATGTTTTTAATTAAACAATGAAGTCCAAAGTGTTTCAGCTTAGTTTTTCAATCCATTAATAACTTTACCTTTCAGTGCATTCAGTGGAAGAACATTTCAAATTAGTCTGGTAATGAAGCAGATTTGGCTCATCTTACTTAGTGCTGAAGTTCTCCAAAATTAGAAACAGAAAGTCTTGTGGCATTATCTAATTTCTGTGTTACAGGGAAGGAAACCTGTCTCCTTATTTAGTGATGGTATATACAAAGTAGAGAAAGCTTTGGCCTAAAATATACCTGAGTACGGATAGCTAGTGTAAGATTGTTATATTATCTAGAATACTTTCCTATAGTTTCTAACCTTCAGTGAAAAATATTTTTTTCTTCCTAATTTAGTAGATTAAATTATAAATTTACATAAATGGGAGTAACATGGAAAGCTCTAGTACCCATAAAAATTATTTATGTTAAACTCTTGATTTGCAGTGCTGTTTCTTTTGCAGTAAGCTTAAGTCTTAATAGTAATTTCAGGAACACACCACCCACACACTGAAGCAGCTACTGAAAAGTTCAATATATATTCTGCCTAGAAAGAACCAGCAGGTGATGGTTATAACCTGTTGAACAGCAATAGGAAATAAGTATACTGAAAAAATTCTGGTTTATTTTAG